ATTTGTTTTACTATGTAATTTTTCTGGATCTTTACAAAATGATATTTAATGGCATCTCAGATTCTATTCAAATCCACTCCCCTCCTGCTCTTTGCTTCTTATTCCTGCAATTTGCGAATTAGAAACAATTACATTCCGATAGATAATTTCATTTCATTTCCATCTATCCATTTTTTTTTTCTTATTCAATTGTCGAGGCGTTTAAAGTATAAGCAAATGTGTACATGACATGCCACTTACCACATCAATTTTCACATTATAAACATGCTTGGAATTTTTTTCATGATTAAGAGCATTTTCTTATGTGAATTGGGTTAATGATTTGAATGAGTGGATTGGGTGGGCAGTTAAGGAGTTGATTGAATAATTTTTTAAGCTGTGGGGATTTATTTTGGAGGAATAATGGTGGCGTAGTGGTGGGAACATGAGAATGGAATATAAGTCAAGTAGTTTGCAGGATTGAATGGAATAAGGTTTGAAAATTTAATAAGAGCTTTTTAAAAATGACTAATAGTCTGCTCAGATTCTGTCAAATATCTACTAAAATTCTGTCAAAAATCTGCTCAAATTCTTTCAAAAATTCGCTAAAATTCTGTCAAAATTCCGATGAGATTCTGTCAAAAATATAACTTTAAAGTAAAATCCCCAAGACTTCAAAAAATGCGCTCTAATCATCACCACCCATACCTTTAGTGCCTCATTTCCATATCACTTAAAAACATACATTAACTATTCACAATAAAAAGATGAATGGAAATGAAATAGTTTGAAATAAAAAATAAATATAATATAAAGTAATATAATCACAACATCAAATTGTTGTGGCCTGTCTAACGGCAAAAAATGTTACATTTCTTTCTATCCACTGTCACATTGATTGACATGTGATTGCAGCATGAGTCGAACAGCATAAGGAAGAAGTTTAAAAAAAAGAGTCGAGAGACAGCAGCGCAAAAAAAAATAATATAAATATCGAATAATTTTCTTCTAATTTTCTCATTTATATTCTCTCTCATCACATCACATCCCATCCCATCCCGTTCCTTCATTTTTAATCTAACTGTAATGACTGATGCTTCTGCGGGTGCCTCGCGGGGCAATTTGTGGTAATAATTGATATAATTTTGTATACGTTGTTTGTGATGAGATGAAGGTGAATGGGATAAACAAATAGCTCAAGAACCCTCGGTTTGCTGCCTACAAATTCATGTGAAATATTCCACAATGATGATCAAGAATGAAAGATTGTATTGAAGGCAGCAAGAGAAACAATAATAATAACGATGATGGTGCATATAGTATCGGTAAATTTCAAAAGCATACGTGCCATAATTACAATGAACTGTGAGTAAATGCGGATGCAAGAGAAGACGCTAGAAATTAGTCAGTTATAAATTATGCATTAAAGAAAATAAAAAAGGTCTAAAGCAGCAGATGAAGATGAAGAAGTAAAATCTTGAAATCAATATATGCTGAGCATATAAAGTGCAGTAAGTGGAAAAGGAAAAAAAGTATCACATTAACAACTTCATTTGCATGTCTTCAAAGGCAGTACTAAAAATATATAGACATGCAATCAACCGACTGTAAAATAAAACTTTTTTTTTTCTTATTCCTTTTTTTTCGCTAAATTATTAACATTAAAATGAATTCTTTTTATCGCGCTGCTTGGAAGGTGCCTAAAGCTCTAAAATTTTATGCATTGAGTTAGTGGTGTGTTTGAGTTTGATTAGGATTAGAACTAGAGCGCTGTTTGTGGGTATGGTGACTAGAATTCTGATCGGTGTTGGCATTTGATACAGCGTGGACCTCCCACGACAATCAGAGACACTTGACAAACTTAAATTCCTGAGATTAAGCATCTGTCGGTAGTCTATGATCTATCAATGAGTTCTGGTAGTTTGGAATGCATTATATCAATTAACTTTCCAGTCTGTTTCAGGCACTTACATGTCAAGAGCCTAGCTCCTCATCAGAACAATCTCAAACAAGACAAACAGTCAAACAAAATCCATTCTATTCCAGCTCGCAAACAAGCTCGCCAAACACATTTCAGCAGTAATTATATTCATTCAGTTCTTACCTCAACTTGCACAAACCATAAGATTTATGAATAATTTTCTTATATTTTTCGCACACAAGACACCGAAACTAGTTCTCGCAGGCAATTTAAAAATATAAAGGCTAAAATTATAATTTTTTTTTTATAAAACATATCGTCAGTCTTTGACTATCGCTAAGCCATAATCATGCATTTTGCTAATAATGACTCTTACAATAAATAATGCCTCATGATCTTAGCACCTGTTAATACTAGAAGTTAATACCCGTAAAATTTTTATAATACACTCATATTTTGTCAAAACAAAACCGTTACATGATAAAGTCTTGTTGTTCTATTTTTTATTGCTTGCTCGCTCATTTCTCTCCCCTTTTATATTATATCTTACATTGTCTTGTATCTTTTTTTGTGTATATTATTCAAACTTCAATTTGAGGCACTTAAGATCACTGTTAAGAGAGCAAAAATATATTTAATAAAATTTGCATATAAAAGAAGTTTCTTGGAAATTAAAATCTGGTTTAGAATGGAAAGGCACAGCGAAAAAAATATATATAACATGTATAATCGACGAACGACACCTACACGAGTTGTTACCTTCTTTTTTCTCTCTCTTGATATTTATTTATTCGCTTACAACTCTCTTGTCTCGCTTGGATATTCAAACACACATTCTCTGAAGCACATTAATACGATCATGTACAAAAGACGAAGGAATAAAATGGAATTAAAAAATTATTAAGAGGAGAAAAAAAAATATTGTTTTCGATCAGTTACTGTGAGAGATTAAGAAGGTTTAGCAATTGCTGTTTATTCCTTTTGGGGAGGCATTCGTCTTTTGTGGCATTTGGAATTTTGAGACACTATGAAGTGCTCATAATAATCCAATCTATAGAGTGTCAAGTCTTAGACCTACAGTAGGCCACACAGCAATGCTCAGACCTTCTCCCCTTAGCTTTTTGACATCATTTACAAACGACCCCCATCCTATGATCGTGGAATTTAAACTTAAAAAGAACTGTTTGTCATTTGGAAACAATGCACATTTATAGGTGTTGCATGAAATAGACAGTATGGGAACCGACATTGTTGCATGATTTTAATTGCAAAACTCTTTTTTTTTTTGTCGAATAAGAATTTCGAAAGAACAATTGAAGATTAATGCGGAATTTTAGATTTATGGGGTTCTGTGAGGAATAAATTTTGTAGATTGTAGTTATGGTAATTTTTTGGCTGCATAAAATATTGGCAATTTATGGTGGCAGTTTCCGTAAGAAATTTAAAGAATTTTTGTGGTTTTTTTGCTGGGCTTGAGTTGATTTGAGGAATTTGAGTCAGTGGATTGGAATGAGATTAAGGAAGTGGTTGACGATATTTTGTAAATTTGTGGCTTTAAGTTTTCTAGTTTTATAAAAGAAACTTTAAAACAATTCCCAGAAAAAAAAAAAACATTTTTTCTAAAACCAAAATCTATTAAACAGAAAAATGATATCCCAAATAGGGGAAGTGAATATATTGCCTATTAAAATTGTCATTAATATAAATTACCAAAAATATCCAATAAAGGTCTTCATTTAACACCAAACAATATGTAAAAAGAAATCAAAAAAAGGTGATTCCAAAGCATTTTCCAATTTTATTTTTTGTGTTCAACTTCAAACATTTATTAACCTTGAATGTGTACACATATATACATTGCTCGCTGGCATAAGTCATATAAGATTGACTCCTTGTACACACAACAAGCGAGATAGAGACAGAGACACAAAATTTTTGTACTTGTCTCGTTGCGGTTCTATTAAAATTAAATAAATGCTTTCAAAAATAAAAAGTATTCAAAAAGGAAACAAAATCTTGTTTCTTATTGTCACGTTTAAAGCGTCGAAATGCGAAAGGCAAACAATGAACAATTTTTTGATTGATGTTTAAATACGAAAGGAGAGAAAGAAAAAAATAATATTTATTTAGTCTCTGTTTTTGTCCATTCATTCATTAAATTATTGTTTATAAATTGACATGATCTCTGTGTGTCTCTTTGCTCTTTATTCAATTTTTTTTTATCGCAAAAAGAGCTATTTTTTGAATGGCATGTATGCGTTTCTTCTCCATTCACTTTTGTATCGTTTGATTGACTGAATAGAACTTTGAATTTACCACAAGCTGATTTATTAATTGACTGCATTTCGGGGAGTTCCGGGTAGATTTATTGAATATTTTTCGAAATTTGGGATTTTTTTAAAGACATAGATATGTGACTTTTGAGGTCAACTGTTAAAGATTGGAATTTTTTGTGCAATATTAGACATGATTTAGTAGTTTGAATGCCTAGTCATGGTAAGTGTCTATAAAAAATTCGAATTTGGATGCTTTTAATTAGGGGTATTAAATTCTTGGGTATCTAAAGTATTGCTGCTTCTCGGTGCAACCAACCTGTACCTTCTAGGGCCTCTTTGTATCATCCTTTACTTCTTTTTGCTTCCATTTGCCTTGTAATTGCTTCCTAATACTTCTTATCGCTCCCTTTCGATCACTATAACCTCCTATCATTTTCTATTTTTCCTAAAAGCTCTCTATCACTTATTATCAATCCATTGTATTACTTACAGCTCTCTATTGCTCCTCATCTATACTTTTTGCTCCTGATTGGTTCTTATCACTTCCTTTGAATCGCTCTTACTTTATATCCCTCTTTCCTCCTCTATGTCCTTTCCTATCCCTCAGTTTTCCTCTACATTTCTGTAAAAATTCAAATTTAATTCGAAAATGCGTCTCATACCATAAAATGCATATCCCCGAACAGCTTGCATACTCAATTGTTTTTGACTGCATTCAACTTGCAAAATAATGCAGAATAAATATTAATAATGATGAAAAGAGGCAATAAAAAGGCAATATATTGATTAAAAAAGAATTCTTTTCTTCTCTTGTTTCATTCTAGGCCTATTTACGCAGAGTTGAGTTGACAGACATAATGGCATTGTGAAATATAAGCAACAGAAATAAAAATAAAAAAAATAAGTGAAGTGAAGTAATCGAAATATTATTGCAACAAAGATGGTGCCGCCATTCAATAATAATTGAGTTTCACAGTGAACATACATCCTCGGCTCCGTGTCTCTACGACTGAATACTTGTTAAGTGCCAATAACAAGAAAAAAAGTATATTTTTTTTTCAATATCGCTTGTGGTGAAAGAAGTTGAAAAGGGAGGCAAAAATTTACAGATCATAAAAAAATTGCACGGCGTGCACTGTGCATATACAGCTAGAAAAAAAAGTAAAAGCGCTAAAATAAGCTTGCGGTTGTTCAAAAAGAGTATTTTTTGTGATAAATCTTTTCGATGTTATTTAAGTGTTTGCTTGATAAATAGAAGAGGCAAAAAAACCGCAAGAAACAGTGCAAAATTTCCTGCTTTTGATCTCTTCTTACGAAAAAAGAAGAGAGAAGATCGTAAAAATAAATAAATCAGCCAAGTGCGAGACAAGCTGAAATGTTGTGAAAAAAAATACAAGAATTTCCATAAAATATGGTTCATTGGTTTTTGATGCCATTTATTCGTTATTTGTTGCGGTTTTCAGATTGAATTATTGGACTGAATGCACTTGTAAGCATATCAAAATACATACGCGTATAAGCAACATACGGTCAGTGATTCTTAGAATTCACTCGGATCATAAAAAATTCTAAAGACACTCAAAAACATTTTTTTGGGAATACAGGAAGGAGGTGCTGCACATATATAAAAAAATATGGTGAGTTTTACGTGACATAATTCATAAATTGCTCCATTACGTCGACAAAATCCTCTATAGCACATGATATTGCATTATTATGAGTGACGAAGATCATGTGAAAAGAAGGAAGCAAAATGAAGATGATTTTCTTTTATATTCCTGATTGATTCCGTGATTAAATGTAATTTTCATAAACACCGTCTGCTTCTGATCTTGTCTGCCGCATGAGTAGCTTCATAATGCATCTTATTGTACACATTCCGTGAGCTCTGCTAATAATGCAGCATGAGTAAATTGATTTCTTTGGTTTTTATATTTTTTGATGGGGGTAAGAGTTTCAATTTGGATGGAAGTTGTGGTTACTGTGCAGGCGGGATGTCCAATAGATTTGAAACTTAGGCTGAATGACTTTGGTGGTTCTTTGATGCTGATTTATTAATTTTTATAGATGGTTGAGTGACATTTTTTTACTTTAGTAAATCAATCGAATTTTATAGGATTCGAACTTACACTTAATAAGTTTTGATCCTTCGACCATTTCTCAATCTGTCGAAGACTCTTAAAATATGACCAAAGTGACTTAATAAAGGTTTTTGACACCTTAATATGAAATAAAGTTCAACATTCTATCAAGAACTTCGCATAAATCTCAAAAATTAACCCCCCTTGGACATACCTTTGTGATTATATTATTGCATTACGATTTTCTTGGTCATTTCAATGACGACGATTATGAATTAAGGATTACAATAAACACAATAATTTAAGACTTTTTATATAATAATAAATAAAATTTAAAAAAATTAAATTACGTCTTGGGATGCTTCCTTTTCTGAACATACATAAAACTGCATTCATGTCGCTTATTTGATGTACGATGGCCTTCCACATTATTAATATAACGTCTCTTATTATGAATTCCTCTTGCTGCTTGTTTGAGGCAAAAGTCAGCATGAAATTACGATTTAAGACACACACACATGAATTAATTCTTACCTTCTTTCTCCGCATCTCTCTTCTACCTTTCTCTTTCCAACAACAATTTTTATTTATTTGTTTATTAAAGGTCAAGAGAATTTTTCATTTCTTTTAAGTTTTTTTAATTTTATATTTCCTGTATCTGAACATCAATTAAATGAGAAAATTTTTAAATTCTTTCACCGTAACCTATTATCTGCATCTAGTTTTTTTTTTATATATTTAATTCGGATAGTGCTGGTGCTGGGAAACAATCATGTACAATTTTTTGTTTTTTTGTGGGCAGTGTGAATTTTATTTTCTAAAACATCAAAGAGAAATTTTGATAAGAATAGAGGCAAACATTGTGAGAATGGATAGTTTTTATTTGAGCATTTAAAGTTTTTATGATTTTCAAAATTATTGACCGTAAAATATGATCTTAATTTGACGACGCAGACTATAGCCAAGCTTGTTAAAAGTAAAAATTGTGAATCTACATTTTATATTATTTTAAATGTTTTTATGGCAAGTCGTTTAACAAGCACAAGAGCCAAAATGAGCCCTTAAAATTGGTAATATCTTCTTGTCACGAAAGCTGTTTAAGTTTTTCTTGGAACTTGTTCTAATTTTGTTTATGAGCAGCTTGGAGAGATAATTAGATGACTCATGGTCTTGTATTGAATCTTCACACGATGCTTTGTCGGTTTTGGGTTTGGTTTTTGGTGTGCGATTGACGAAAATTGGTTTTGCTAAATTATCAGAAGTATTTGGATGCTAGTGACTTAGTTGCTGGGAGCAGAATTGCACGATGACATTTAACAAGCTTTACACCTTTCTGCACTTACCCAGATTTTGATGTTAAGTTGTTGATAACAACCCATGACTCTTATTAATTAACAACTCCAACTAGCTTCATCGATAGCTAACATTAAAACTAAACTCCAAAGGCATAAACCCCCCAAAAATCATCACCAAATCATAATCAAAAAGATCATTCAGGTAGATGCTGTAATTCTCTCCAGCAATTCTCATGCCCATTCACAAAACAGAACCCTAACCAATTTAAATAGATACCATCAGTACTTCCATAAATCAACAGTTAATAACATATTTAAAGTCAAATATCTTTCATGAATCTCTTCAAATAAACTTCTTTTCTCTTCTCTACAAAACTTAAAATGCTATGAAGTGATGTGATAAATTGAAGATGTCGATGAACAGCAACCAATATTTCATGGTCAAATAATAATATTAAACTACCTATTTCCATTCTTTCTAATCGAGTTTCACTGTTATTGGATTTGAAAGAATCAGCAATTCGAAGTTTTATATTTTTTCTTAAAATGTTCTTCAAACATCACAGCGGGATACATGAGTGAATTATTCTTCTTTAGATTGTTTCCTTTCGTGCATTCTTCCAGGTCCATTCGATCAGGTAGATAGAATTGAGAGAATTCAATGTGTGTAGCTTGTTGTATCGCACCGCGCAGAAATTATGATGCATAAATTAAGTTAATTTTCATCTTTTCATTCTAATGCTTCGTCAAATACACGAACACACATACAAAGATGGTACATAAGGCTAACCAAATGGCCTGATATCCAACTGTGATGTGCCATGCATAGCGCCAATATCTCTTAATGAATCAATAAACAACAAGAAACAAAATATATGTGAAAGAAAAAAGAAATTGTGGCAGAGGCACATACAGAGTGGTCTTCGCATAATGTGCCCTTATTAACTGAACGAGCCTCAATCATCGATAAAAAAAAGTAAAAATATTTCTGTTATGCGATGTGAAATACAACAAAATGTAAATAAATAAATTATTACTGACTCATTCGAATTGGGTTAAACTTTCACGTCGATTGCAGGTTCGCCTGTAATGATTCAAGATTCAAAATAATAAGTATGAAGAGATATGGAGGAAAAGGATTAAGACAATCAGTTGGGACTGCTCGTGTGTAGGGAGTCTGGAGTGGATTTAGCGCGCATTTATAAATGGGTTTGGATATTATATTGAATTTTGAGGTACAATTGGAGCATCATGGGTTAGGTCTTAGTTCTGAGCTTCTAAACGTGATCCATGATATATTGTATCATGTGCTTACAACTTAGAAACATTTTATGGCCCATGAATGACTTGACATTAAGGAATCTAATTCAAAATCAGGAACAAAACTTTAAAATCGAAATTCATGACTTAATGTTGCTCAATTTGAATGCTATTCCGATCCCAACGTTAACTGCTCCTCAAACCATGTAAAATAAAACAGGTTAAGACCCCTCAAATTGAATCAAAATGATCACATACCTTCTAAATCACTAAATCATAATTCATTCAGTTTCAACATCATCTCAGCACATTAACTGCTCCAATTACAAACAATCTCTAACCATTAAGTTTCAGAAAAATTCCCGGATGATTTTGCATTAATTTAATCGCAGATCGACCCACAAACTTGCTTACAATTTCATCAAAAAATTTCATCCTACAGTGTATCCAATGGAAAAAGCAACTCCCTTTTCTCCACAAAAATTATGCTCGCGAAAGAAAGTTGCAGAAAAAAAATTCCTAGCATGCTGCTTATGCCAAGATCTAAATAGATCTTAATATATTAAACTGAATTAATTGAATCAAAGTATTTTGTATAATAACAGTTTTATACTCTATTCAAGTAGTTAAAAAACTTTCATACAATTCTATTTATTTATTTTCATCTTTTTATCGTCGTTTTTTAAACTCTTTACAAGCTATATTGGTGGGGATGTTTGACAATGATGTCTAAGGATTAAGGAGCTACTGTCGCGACTTTATAGAAATGAAATAGAACTCAAGGGGCTTAATGAGCAATAGATCTTAGAGTTTAGCTAGAATAAGACCTAAAGTATCAATATTACAAACCTAGTATGGATACCTAAGGTCCTATTTTGCATCTGCTTACCCCATGGATCAAAACCCTTCATTCTATGACTATAAACATCCTGAAGCTAGATGAAACTTTCAAAAACTGTCCATAATAGAAATCACGTCCAAAAATGCCGGTTTGTGGATAAACATCACTCACGAACGACCCCACAACAAGCATTTATATTGTGACTAAGCATAAGCATGCCTTTCAAATGAGCACAACCTCACCTTCATTAGATATTAGACGAGGAGTAGAAGAAGAATGAACACAAAAAAATTGTTAACAAGAGAGACGGCAGAGAAAGAATGAGCAAGTTTTAAGACTTGTTACTTGACGCTAATATAAGTGCACTCTTATAATAATTTTCATTCATTCAGTATAATCATCGAATATATACGTATGTACAGTGAAATGGCATATTGTTGAAGAGAGAGATGAAATTCCACTCATTATTATTAATGATGCCACACTACAGGACGATAAAAAAAATAATATTGTAAGAAGTAAGAAATCGTAATTGACAATTTTTCTAGATTACGCAAAAATAAAATGCTGCTTTTTTTTCTAACGGAAAAACTGACTTACGTATTGCAATTGAGATTGTATCATAGACTGAACTGCATAAGTGGATAGTCATTGAATTAATGATAAAACGCAATGGAGATTAAGAAAAGTTTTTCAATTAGTTGGAGATGTAGGAATGAGAAAAGGATTGGAATTGACAATTGGCAATATGGGAATAAATTGCTGGATTGTCATTTGGGGTTGCCATGTGCTGTGTGGTTGATGGGATGGGAATGGATTTATCTGGGAAATGTTGTGGATATAAAAGTATTGTCAGGCTTTTTTGGGGGTCGGTTTTTTGGCTTAATAGCTTAAATGACAACAATTTGTAAGTAATTCATCTGTATGCTGTTACTACATATGTCTGGACTAGTCTTGGTAAATGTAAAAGTACTAAGTACTCAAACTTTCTATGTTAGCTAACGTTCTGAGCCAAAAACTCAAGATTCCAACCAAACTTGCTTTTCATGTAATCTCATACTTAACTTTCCAATCCCAATTCTTTTTAATGATCCAGCAACAATAAGCGCGATTCAAAACCAGATCTCAATTAACAGAAAAACGGTCCAACCCCCCTCAAA